CCTGGCCCAGACCTGACCATTGCAGCCAGTTGGAGAGTGAACCAGCGGATGCAAGATCTCTCCTCCGTCTGTCTCTCTGTCAATCTGCCTTTCAAATAACTGAATGAATGAATGAATCTTAAAGAGAGAGCGAGAGATCCAACCCATTTGCCCTTGATGACTCTGGCCTGTTCATTCACTTCGTAAATAAACCTAGATAAGGTCGTTTCAGGGTGAGCATCACTAATCCAAAAACCCAAAACCTGAAACTCTTTGAATGCCAGCATGACACTCAAAAAGTTTCAAATTTTGGAACATTCTGGATTTGGGGTTTTCAGGTGAGGAATGCTGAACCTATAAACTGTATACAAATGTTCATTAAACAAACAAAAAAAAAAAAAACTTCAAAAATCTGAAAAATACTTCAGGTCCCAACCATTTCAGAAAGGGAGACCCAACCTGGATAAATAAGGCACCACCCTGAATTCTACAGGGGGAGGCTTCAGCAAATTAAGACCCAACTAGGGCAAAATTACGGAAAGTGTCCTCAGAATGACAGGCGTCCACTTCCTGGCAGGAGAGAGGACAGCTTGAGGGAGGAAGGGGAGGTGGGGCTGCTCAAGGCAGAGGCAGAGGGAGGCACCTACCGGGGACTGGTACCAGGGGAAAAGAAGGCTGGAGAAAAACGGGTATGTTTAGGAGATGGCAAACAGGCCACCTGTGCCGGGATGAGGGTCCCAGCAGGTGGAAAATATTTACTGTCGGGGCTCATTGTAACACTGGAGGGGCACACTGGAAACCCACCACAGGCGAAGGTCAGGAAAGGAGCCCCTTCTAGCCTTCATTACATTTCATCCCAGGAAGGAGGGCTCTTTACAGAGGTGGAAAATGGAAGAAGTCAAGAAACTCGCCCCTGAGTTTGAACTGACTTTGACGAGAAAAGCAATCACTGATGCAAGCAACTCCTGGGCCTGAAATACAGGCTACGGAGCCTAGAGGAATCGGCAGGAGTGCCTATCCCAACGCAATTTCCCAAGAGAAACAGGGCCTGGAAGAGAGACCCCATGGATGGGTAGTGACCGCAAGCGACCATTCAGTCGGGGGTAAGATTCTCGGCTTGCAGGGTGGGCTCGTGGCGCATGGGGTTAAGCTGTTGCTTTAGGACACCTACCTCCCATATCCACGTACGATTTCAAGTCTCTGCTGCTCTGCTTTTGATAAAGCCTCCTGCTACTGCATCCGGGGGAGACTACAGATGATGGCCCCCACCACCCACTTGGGAGACCCAGATAGAGTTCCCAGCCCCTGGCTTTGGCTTGTCCCAGCCCTGGCTGTTACAGGCATTTGGAAAGTGAACCAACAGATGGAAGATCTCTATTTCTCGCTCGCTCGCTCTTTCTCTCTTTGTTGCTCTGCCTTTCAAGCAGATAAAAATAAACAAACATTTAAAAAAAAAAAAGAATTCGAGGTTTCAAATGCCAAGCCTTCTTCTCCTCCACCACCGTATTTATCACACTGGGGATCTTGAAGTTTGGAAAGTAACTCAGCCATTTACAGCATAATTACACAAACTTCAAAATGGTCTAATCCACAAACCCAGCCAGCTGAGGTCTCTGACTCCAGCCCTATTAACAGTGGGGTCTCACTACAACTCCAGTTAATTACACATTTAAGCAATGAGATGGAAAAATCGACTGTGATCTATTAAAAAATCGTTGCCCCCTGAAGTCACGCATCTGGGGGTGGGTAGAGAACTGGGATTTCACTTGAAGACAGCAGGCGCCTCAGCCTGGGCTGAAACTGTTTACAACGCATGGACAGGTTCCACACCAAGGCACATTTGGTGGAATTGATTTAAGGCTCTCATTAAAATGTTCCTTTGTTGAGCACAAGACACCACCACCACCCCCAAGCCCTGGGGAGATTCCAGACCTCCTGTCCCAAGCCCTCAGCAGCCTACCCTAACTCCCCCACCCCCAACCAAACACCCGCCGCCACCAGATTAACATCGATTAACATCAGAGTCATCTAGTTTCGGAAGGAATTTAGGAATTTCGCATTTGTTGAACAATCTCCTCTTGACTCCAGGACTCTCCACAGCGGCACTGAAGGCAGCCATATCGGACGGATCCACACATCCAAACCCAACCAGAGGACCTCAGGCCTGTGAGCTCGCTCTGCAGGCCGCCCATATGGTTGTCCCCCTCACCCCCCATCCCGGCTGGGAAAAAAAAAAAAAAAAGAAAAAGAAAAAAGTGCACACTTCCTCTGGGAGCAGATGTGGATTCTGCCATGAGCAATAACCAGTGTACACATCACAAGGAACACAGAGCCACTCCAGAAACATCTCCTGCGAACCACTGGAGTTTGTCTTAGCTCCTTCCCGGGTTACATTTCCCTCCTTTTACAACTAAGGCTGGGGGAGCCCCCGACAGCAGGCCAGAAGACCTCAGAAAAGGGAACTAATCCCCTGCCCTGCTACCCTACGGCCACTCTGCCAAGGAGGGGGGCAAGCGCTCAGCCAGGACAGGTCCCCCGGGGCAGAGAGGGGTGCTTCCAGGACCACCACTCAAGACCCTGTTGTTGGGGGCACGCGGGAGGGGGAGAGGCGTTATTTCCAGCCCAGGCTGTTTGGGATAGCTCGGCGCTTTCCTATAAAGCACTTCAAAGTGGTGACACCAGTGTGACAAAGCCGCGAAATGCTAGCTGAAGGGGGGTGGGGAAGGGTGTCCCGGCCGCCGCGAAGATGCGGGCCACACCCTCGCCAAAATGCTGGGGCCCTCCAGGAAGAGTCCGAAGGAGGGCTTTCTGCCCCAAGAGCAGAAAAAGGTTTCCTCTCCTCCGTGAGAGCACGGCCAGGATGGAAATCCAGGAAGCAGGGAGCACGGCCAACCCCGTCCGCACCTTCGCGGGCAGGCCATGCCCGATTTTGCCAGCGGCCTTCACACAGTCACCGCGACAGCCTGGGACCCTCGGCCGCCCGGATGCGACCCTGGCACCGAGTGGGCTCAAGGGCTGGGGCCCAAGAGCTGGAGGCTACGGGGCGGCCCCTAATTCTTCCCTTCGTCCATTCCCGCGAGCAAGACTATTCGAGGTCCCAGCGTTGCCCAGGAACTTGCAAGGGGAAAGCCGGGAGCGTCGGGCCGGCCTAGGTAACAAAGCTCCGCGCCTTGCGCGCCGCAGGTCGGTCCGGCACAGGGCCCCAGGCCGGGCTCCTCACCTGGCCGGAGCCCGCCGGGGCGACTCCGGCTCCTCCACCGCCAGCCGCCCAGCCGCACCCCCCGCAGGGGCGGTCGCCGTTTCTCCCCCAAAAGAAACTCCCCCATCGGGGGCCGGGAACTCCCAGCAGTTCTGTTGAGCGAACTCTCGAGTGGAGCCGGGACAACTCTGGGGAGGCTGGAACGCTGCCGGGGTGGGAGAGGGACCCCGGCCGAGTCCGCGGGGGCTGCGCCGGCCTCCCGGCTGCCCTTGCCCTTCCGCCAGGACCCCGCACCCCTCAGTGAGCCTCTCCACCACCCCGGAGTCCTGACCTCGCGCCCGCCGCCCAAACCCTCCCCGGTGCCCCCTTCTGCCCGCGGGACTCCTGCTCCCCAGTTCGCCGGGACTCACCGCCCAGCAGCGGCAGCAGCAGGACGCTGAGCAGAGCCAGCCAAGGGGGGCTGGCCGCGGAACCCCGCGCAGCTCCCATCGCGGCGGGCTCGGGGAAAGGAGCCGGAGGGCGCACGGCGGGCGCGCGGGCTGCGCTCCGTGGCGGGCCCAGGAGGCGGAGCGCACCGGAGCACGGGCGCCACTGCAGCAGCCGGAGCCCGAGCCCGAGGCGTCCGGAGCCAGAGCCGCGCGCTCCCGGGTACCTCCAAGCCCTCGCGCGCCGCCGCCGCCGCCGCCAAGCCCCGCCCCACGACGCCCCCTCCCCGCCGGCCTCCGCACGGCGCCCCGCCCCTTCGGCGCCCCCTCCCAGCCTGGGCGGGGAGGAGTTCGCAGTTGGGGGAGGGGTCTGGAGAGAGGTTGGGGGGATAGAGGGAAGAAGGCCCGGGGAGGGCGGGGGACCCAGGCGAGGTAGGGAGCCGTGTACCCACCGCCCAATCTACAGGGACCCAGGGGGTACCAAAGTGACTTCTCTGATCCCGTGGGCCCTAGGGAGGCTGGTCAGGCGGGCCCACCCAGAGGCTCCCACCAACAGCTCCCCTAGAATTCTCCAGGTAGGAGGGGAAAGGGTAGGCCGTGACCCACTCTTCAGCATGGGGAAATCCTGAGGGAGATCTAGAATGGCAGGGTGTCCTTGATGTCCTCAGTCAGACACTGGGGCTCAGCAGGGGTCTGATCCGGCTCTGAACCAAGTGGGACCCAAAGGTAGAAACATACTGGGCTCTGAAAACCAGGCTGAAGGTTGTTAAACTGACAAATTCATCCCAAGTCCATCTCCAGGCAGTCTGGGCTGTGTCAGGGCATGGCCAAGTCTCCAGCTGTGGGGAGGCCCAGCACAGCCCTTGTTCCAGGCACCCCCCAACCCCCAGCGCCACCACCCCCACATTCTTTCTTTGTTGTGAAAGCAGCAAGGGGTGTAGGAGGCGGGTCAGGAGGAGTCAAGCTTTAGAAGATGGGCCCCAGCTGCTGCTCAGGCCTCCAGGATGTGCTGAGAGCACAAGGATAGTGCCTTGCCCCCCCCCCTCGGGCTCCGGAGGGCCCCCCAGGCCTGCTTAGGCCTCCCTTCCCCCAAGCAGCTGGGAGGAGGAGGGGCAGCCACAAAGGGCCTCACAGGCAGGAGAAGTGGCGCCAGGACCCCAGGGTCCTGCCACATGGCCACCACATGTCCCTGACAACCCAGTCCACAGCACCTTCTCCCCGGGTTGTGGGCCCTCCTTCCCCATCCCCCAGATGCCTCCCTCCAGGCCTGCTGGAGAGGGAATAAAGAAGAGAGGAGAGGTCTAAGATTCGCCCCTCCTCCTGTCACCCCATCTGTCACTGCCCCTCGCCCCTCTCTGAAGGACCTTCCTGCCCTCTGCACTCAGGACTCAGTAGCAGAAAGGTTACCTGATTCTTTTATTTAAGAAACGTGAAATACATGGACCTGAAGTGAGGCAGCAGAGGGGAGGGAACAAGAGACGCCCGGGCAAGGTGGCTCTGCCGGCCGGCCAGCCCTAAACCCTCTGACAGAAAAGCCAGAGGCAGGCTTCATCTCTAAGGTGCATACCTGATCTTGCCCACCTTGGGGGCCCCAGAGCTAGCTACTCTCGAGGACCCCCTGGTGGAGGGAGAGTGTGTCCTGAGGGTCCTTCCTAAGAGGGATTCCTGAGGAGGGAGCCAAGACCCTATGGGCAGCAGCAGACTTCTGGTTACACTGCTCCCCGTTCACTACCCCACCTTGCGATGGGGAAGGGACTGGAGCAGTGGGGAATGCTGTGAGGGCTGTGGGGGACCCAACAGGCCTGTGGGGAGGGTTGAATGTCAGCTGCTTGATGAGAGATCCGTGGTGCTGGCACTGAGGCCCCGGGAGACCTGAAACAACAATACCACCCTGTCAGCCAGGGACCTTGGCCTCCTGGAGTCCAGCCATCCCACAGCTGCATCCATCCCGGGACCTAGGATATAGATCCTGTAACTCAACCCCAAGCCCTGGGGTCTTTGGTTAGCCTCTGCGAGAAATCTTCCAGTTGGCTACAATCTGGTGGACTCCTGGCACGTGCCCTGAATATGTCGATGGCAGAGGTCACTGCCATCAAAGCATCAGTCCTGTTTTCTCCAAGGCAGATTACTGAATACTTTTCTGTTTTCTCCTTCTCATGCACTTCTAAGTCTCCAAGGTGAGGAGGATGGTGGCTGCAGGGCTCCAGGTCATTCCTGAATTATTCATAATTCCAAAGGACCAGTTTAGAGAACATCAATTCCTAGTCCCTTCCTGCTTAGTTGCTACTATTTCTGGCCTGGAACTGTCTCTTGGTGGTCACCACCCCAACAAGCTGCCTGGTTCCCCAAGGACTGTCCAGTTCCCCGGCCCTGTCCTCCTCCCAGGTGACTCTCCCTCTCCCTGACTCTCCTTGGGCTTGCCTGTGTCCTTGCTTTCTCACCTGGAGGGGCGCGGCACTGGGTTGGTTCAGATAGTTCAAGGAGGCTGCCCGCTTCATGTTGCTGCTACAGTGGAAAAAGAAGAATTGAGGCCTCCTGTTCTCCTCAAGCAGCCCTGAAGCTACAGGCCTCTGGGGCACCACTGCACAAAAATCAGATCACTGCCTCTTCCCCCTCACTTCCCCCACTCTCAGCTGCATCAGGAACCAGCACCACCACAGGATCCTTCATCCTCCCACTGGGACACTCATTCGCCCCAACCCTTCCGCCACACCATCCCACAAATCTCTCCCAGACACTTCTCCAGAGATCAGGGGCCAAGAAGAGGCGAAAGCAAAGGCTGATCCACCTTGTTTGCCATATCCCAACCTGGCTGAATACCTGGAGGGCCGAGGCTCCGTCCCCTGGAGCTTCCTCACCAGGAGTTCGCTGCTTCTACGAAGCACATCCCGGATCTTGCCCAGAGAGCCACTCCTCTGCAGAGTCCCACTGCCATCCTGGCAGACAGAGTGGAACAATGGGAGCCAAGGGGACTCCATGCCAGCTGGCTTCTGAGTCCACTACTGAGATTTCTTCTGCACACATCTTCCACCCCTAAAGCCCAGTGATTGAAAATAAAAGCCCTGTGGGGAAGGGTGGTGGGAGGGCTTTTGGAATCATGGTTAAGGCCCTGATTGGAACACGTGCCTTCCATACCAGAGTGCCCTGGGTTCAAGTCCCAGCTCAACTTCCTATTCTACCTTCCTGCTGATGTGTATCCTAGGAGGCAGCAGGTGATGGCTCAAGTACTTAGGTCCCCGCCACCCATGTGGGAGACCCAGACTGTGTTCTGCCTGACCCAGCCACAGCTGTTGTAGACATTTGCAGAATGGAACCAGCAGGTGGAATATCTATCTCTGTGTGTGTGTCCATGTGTGCCTCTGTTTCTCACATGTGTACATCTTTAAAATAAAAATAAATAAAATTTAAAAGAAAATAAGAGGCCGGCGCCGCGGCTCACTAGGCTAATCCTCCGCCTAGCGGCGCCGGCACACCAGGTTCTAGTCCCGGTCGGGGCGCCGGATTCTGTCCCGGTTGCCCCTCTTCCACGCCAGCTCTCTGCTGTGGCCCGGGAGTGCAGTGGAGGATGGCCCAGGTACTTGGGCCCTGCACCCCATGGGAGACCAGGAAAAGCACCTGGCTCCTGGCTCCTGCCATCGGATCAGCGCGGTGCGCCGGCCGCAGTGCGCCAGCCGCGGCGGCCACTGGAGGGTGAACCAACAGCAAAAGGAAGACCTTTCTCTCTGTCTCTCTCTCTCACTGTCCACTCTGCCTGTCAAAAAAAAAAAAAAAAGAAAAAGAAAAGAAGAGGGGCCAGCGCTGTGGCGCAGCAGGTTAACACCCTGGCCTGAAGCACTGGCATCCCATATGGGCGCCAATATGAGTCCCGGCTGCTCCACTTCCCATCCAGCTCTCTGCTGTGGCCTGGGAAAGCAGTGGAAGATGGCCCAAGTCCTTAGGCCCCTGCACCCACTGGGAGACCTGGAAGAAGCTCCTGGCTCCTGGCTTCGGATTGGCGCAGTTCTGGCCATTGCAGCCAAGTAGGGAGTGAGCCATCGGATGGAAGACCTCTCTCTCTCTTTGCCTCTCCTCTCTCTGTGTGACTGACTGACTTTTGAATAAATAAATAAATAAAATCTTAAAAAAAAAAAGAAGAAGAAGAAGAAGAAGAGCCCTGTCAAAAGTTGGCTCCCAGAGCCAGGTTGGAAGAGGCCAGCTCACTAGAATGAAGACGATTGCCCTCATATCCTACCAGAGCTTGGAGGAAAAGGAAGCTCAGGGCCTCGCCCCGCCACCAGCAAGGGCAGGAGAGGCCAAGGGCACTGAGCAGACTTACCCCTGACCACTCCACAGCCACCGAAGCGTCTTCACCTCCCTCAAATTTCACAGTGTCCCCCGGGCCTTCCTGGGAGGTCCTTCTGTCACCATCCCCAAGCAGCTCTGCCACCTTGGTCTGGCTGATAGGGTCAGTACCCTGGAAGGAAAAGGGAAATGGGCCTTCCTACTCCTCCACTCCTCAGGATGGGACTTTCAACCCTTTTTTCACCACCAGCCACTGCAAGGACAACACTCTTCCTTGTGAAGCCCCAGTACACACCTACAGTACAGTATTCACCTCTCTCTCTCTCTCTGTAATGTGTTCCTCTATAGAACCACATACATGTCTTTAGCCATCGCCTACAACGAGTTGATTTCCCCACCTACTAATGGGTTGTGACTCAAAACTGAGACGCTCTGACTTGGGACTCTCCTCAGTGTTACCTTCTCACCCAGCACCTACACGGCCCCAGTGGAAGAGCAGAGCTCCCTCTATCATCTCCGTTCAGTGCAGGGAATCTTGAGTCTGGTGTCCTGACCACAAAGGGCAGGCAGAGGCTAAGAACAGCCTTAAAAATAGCCACAAGACTGCCTCACCTTCCTCTCCCTCCTGTCCTCATCGGAGGAGACTCCTATTCTTAGGAGACCCACAAGAAGCCTGGGTTGCCCCTCGTCTTAGGACCCTTCCTTCCGGGACCTCCTTCCCCTCCTGGCCTCTGACCTGTTTCCGGGAACGCAGGGCACACTCCTCCAGGGTCTCAGCTGCCTCCAGCTTCCCCTGGCGCCTGTACAGAGCTCCTAGGTTTCTCAGGGTCGTGTTCACGGTGGGGCTGTGGGACATGAGACCCAGGAAACAAACAACAACGGGCTCAGGACAGGAAACAGGAGAGGGAGGGACTGGAGCTAAGGCTGAGGCAAGCTCAAAGGGAAGAGAAGGCCCAGGAGGCTGGGGTCATGGCCTGGATGGAGGGCGGCAGAGGCCCGGCTGGCTGTCACCACAGCTTACCTGCTTACTTTGCAGGCCTTGTACCAGCCTCCGTACTCAGCGTAGGGTGTGCCGCCCTCATGGTGCCGGATCTGCAGGACAGATGGGATGGGGAATGGGAGCCAGTGATGAAAGTACAGAGATGCTGAGGTGTAGGCTGGCATGGGCTGGGGTGCAGGCTGGGTTGGGAAAGGCACCGTGCATCTAGGGCTGCTGCAGGGGTGGGAAGGGAGCAGCTGGGCTAACGGAAAGAGCAAGACACAGGCCTTAGAGGCCTCTGGTTCTCCAGACTGGCCTTCTGCCCCCCACTCACTTTGCTCATTTCCTCCCGCTCCTCTGCATGCATCCAGATGGGCTTGTGGTCGTCTGGGGGTGACACATGGAGTGGGGAGGTTAGAGAACATAGCCAGACAGTCTGTGAGAGCCAGGACCCACAGGCTGACACTGCTGGGCGAAAGGGGTCTCCTCCCCCAACCCCGGAACCACCGTGATCTTAACCCCCCACCTTCCATGGGCATTTCTTTTCTTCCCTGCAGCCCCCTCCCCAGGCCCACACCACTCACCATCCACAGACCCAAACTCTTGCACGTGGGCTCGGGTCAGGATCTCTTTGTACAGCGTCTCGGCCTCAGCATACTTGCCCTGCTTCAGGTAACAGGAAGCCTGGGAGGCAGGAAGGCCAAAGCACAGGAGCAAGAGATGGAGGGAGACAAGGTCTTTGCCGGGCTCAGGGGCGTCCACTTCTTGCTGTCTCTCTGACTTTCCCCAGAAGGCCTCCTATTCTAGCAGCAGGGTCAAAGGTATCCCCACTCCACTCCCAAGAGGCTCTGGCACTTCTGCCGCTGGCTTGAAGCAGCTCCTTCAGTCCCAAAGGCAGCCCCAGAGACGGGCACACGGTGGATGAGAGTGGCATGCCAATTCCAGTGCTTCTGGCCAATTCCAGGAGCCAGGTGGCCTCCCCCGCCCCCTCCTTCCACCCCGTGTCCTTTCATCCCTTACCAGGTTGTTCTTGGTGCGGGCTACATTCGGGTTGTCCGGCCCCAGCTGCCCCTCATAGATGGCCAGTGCTCGCAGGTAATAGCGCTCTACGGCCTCATACTTGCCCTGGTTCTGGCACAGAAGGGCCAGGTTGTTTAGCTGCTTTGCTACATCTGGGTGGTCAGTGCCAAGGACCTGGAGGGGAGCAAAGGGGCAGACAAAAGGCCATAATGATGGTTCACACACACAGGGAGCAGAGGGAAGGGAATGAGGGAGAGGAAACAGGGCTGGGCGTGGGGGTGGGGGTAAGGGGAAGAAGTGAAGGACAAGGGTAGACTGACATGGGGGAAGGGTCACAGTGATGGATGGGGACGAATGGAGAGAGGCTCGGGTACCTTCTCTCGGATCTCCAGTGCTCGCTGGCACAGCGGTTCTGCCTCCTTGTATTTGCCCCTTTTGCCGTAGAGCACAGCCAGATTGTTGAGTGTGGCAGCCACCTATGAAGACAGACCTGGCCCATCAGACGTGCAGGACCCAGGAGAACCTGAGGTCCCCTCCCCACCGCCGCACAGCAGGGCCCCACGTGGCACAACACCAAGAGAGGTGGACTCTCACTGACACACTCAGAAGCTGAGGGGAGGAAGGCTCCGGGGCTCTGAGGGTGTTGTACCGCCCTCTAGGGGGACTTCTAGAAATTTCTGGAGTGTTGTTTTGGGGTTGCCATGAAGACTGAGGGTACTATTACCCCTGAGGAGGTGAGAACACAACAGATGTTCTGCATGTGCAGGGCGACTATGCCAACTTCTGAACGTCCTGCCTGGCACTCAAACATAGACAGCAAGCTTTGACTTTGACTTTTGGTGGGATATCAAGATGGGAGTCGTGTATTCTGAGACCCATCATCCCTGCTGTCACATACCTTAAAAAAGGAGCTTATTTCCCATTTTTTCCACTTTAACAATCTATCATTTGTTTTGGCCTACTGGCCCTACTTATGAGGCTATATCTCTGTTTTCTTCTCATATTCAAATCAGTCTGGCCTGTGATTACTTATTATAACACTGCCTTCTAATCAGGTATGTACTCACACTTCTGTCTCATTTTTCTCTTACTTCTTACACAGAAGCACCTACTGGTCTACTTCTAAATCCAGAGTTATTCCTCATATATCACACTACTTTATTATGTCTTCTAGCACTGTTGTACTCAACACAGTTATTCTTGTGTTGTATTTTTATCTTAGCATACTACGTTAAATTTATTGTTCTCATAAATTACTTCCCTTGCTTCTCTTTCATATTAACTAGTGTGTCATATTAACTTTCTTGTAAGTAGGATACATTGTCTATGAATTAAATTTCAGAATATTAATTATAAAAAGCAAGTAACTGAACTGCAGAGAATTGAGAGCCACGGAGATACCGGATGGTGCTGGCAGAAAGGAGGTCCTGTGCCTCCTTCCTGAGCATCCGAGTGAGGGAACCAAGGGCAGCGTGCGGACAAGCTAAGAGAACAACGGCAGAGGGCAGAGGGCAGAGGGCAGAGGGCAAGGAGCACTGACAGCAGGATGGTCCCGGCCCAGAGTGCTCTCCCGGATGCTGAGGGCATCGTTCAGCAGGTGGGCAGCTTCCTTATACTTATTCTGGTCCCTGGAAGAGGCCAAAGGTGACAACGGTTACCCTGACCTCTGCTCCCAAGTCATCTCCTTCCCACTCTCCCTCCCCTGGGGAGGACTGAGGTATATTTAGAGATCGGGGACACCCATGGGGACAAGAGGCCTGGTGTGGATGGTGAGAGGGCTCCACTGACACTCCCAGACCAGGATGCAGAGCACTGCTGTCCTCCGAGGAGGCCACAGGAAGCTGGGGTGTGTGTGGTGTGTGTGTATGTGTGTGTGTGTGTGGAGGCTCCCTCCAGGAGAGACCAGAGCAGCAAACAGCCTGCGAAATGAGTATCGTCTGAGGTCAAGGACTTGGCATGGTACCCAGTGGGGAATATCCTGGAAGCCCAGCAGGGAGAAGAGGCACCCAGTGGAGAGGAGGCATGGGTGCCAAAGAGGGAGAAGAGTCTGGGGGTCGGGGGGGCGGTGCTCACCGATACACCAAGGCGAGGATGTTGAGCATGGTGGCGACATCAGGGTGGCCACGGCCAGATGTGCGCTCCAGGTCCTCCAGCGCCTGCTTGCAGAGCGGCACAGCCACCTCATAGCGACCCTGGGCTGCGTACTGAATCACCAGGTTGTGTAGCGTCCGCAACCTTGCTGGGATCTCATATCCACCCTGCTGGGCGGCTGCAGCGCCTTGGCCACGCGACACTGAGCCAGCCCGGAAAACGAACAGCAGATTTCCTGGAGGACTCTTCCTCTCCCACCCCAGACCTCCCCTCTATGTCTTGTTCCATACCTGCACCTGCCCCTACCAGACTCTCTCTACTGACACCAGAGCCTCCACTGCTATTCTGTTACCTGCTCCCTGGAACCTGTGCCCACTACAGTTCTATTTGTTCCCAGTGATGCATTCACTCAATAAGACTGAGCGGGGCCAGTGTTGTGACATAAAGGGTTAAGCCACCACTTATGACCCTGGCATCCCACATGAGTGCCAATTTGAGTCCCAGCTGCTCCACTTCTGATCCAGCTCCTGAGAAAGTGGCAGAATATAGCCCAAATACTTGGGAGATCCAGATAGATGTCCAGGCTCTTGGCTTTGACCTGGCCTAGCCTTGACAGTTGCAGTCATTTGGGGAGTGAACTAGCAGATGGAAAATTCCCCTCTCTCTCTCCCTCCCTCCCTACCTCTCTCTCTCATAGCCTTTCAAATAAATAAAAAAATCTTAAAAAAAATAATAAGCCTGAGCCAGGGGCTATCCCAGGAACACAAAGATAAGAAAGAGCTGGTTCCTTCCCCTGAAGAACTCATGCTCTTCCCATCTCAGGTTCATTCCCCCATAGACCGTGAACACATCACCAGTGAGACCTGTGTTATTTTCATCTTGCTATTCCTAGTGCTCGGCACATATCGCTTAATAAACATTGATGATAAGGAGGAGGCTGAGAAAATTAAAGGACTAGCCCAGCCCTGCCCCCTCTCCAGAGAGAGGGGAGAACCTGTTTCTGGATGGTGACATCCTGAGCACAGGGCTGGGCCCAGAGCAGCCTCTTGCTGCCCCTCGTTCCCCTCCAGCTCTGAGGCAGACTCACAGCCGTTGCTAGGGTCCTCCTCCTCTTCGTTGGGGAAGAGGTCATCCAGAGAATCCTTGGTGGCATCCCCTTGTTTTTCCTCCTGGAAGGGAAGCAGTAGCATGTGAGGGCCAAGATAGCGCCGGTGTGAGGGCCCCTCTAAGCCACAAAGTCACTGAGAGGGGCCTCTGCCCTGGGAAGGCCAGCATCCGGCCCAGCCACACTCAGGCCTCTTTTGTTGGCAAAAGCCAGAGATGCTTGGCACAAATTCCCACGACTTCCCCTTCCTTCACATCCAGAAAGTTCCCTTCCTTACTACCTCCACTCCCCAGCCTCCCTCTCTCCTGCTCCACTCTTGTAATTATAGCCCTGTGCTGATGCCTGGTGTTTACTCTGATTATATGTCTGTTCTGTCTCTCCTGAGGCCGGACAGTGTCTCTGACCTTACTGACACATGCCCAAGGTGTCTCGCTCAGCCTCACACCCATCATCTGCCACTGCCTGCTTCGGACATAGTGAGCACCCCTCACTGTCCAACCTACTTCCACACTGGGAGAATCTGCTTTTCCCATCAGGAACGGCAGCTTTAAGCAGCGACCTCCAGCCCTTTCCCCTGCCCCCTGCCCTCTGCCCCCTGTACCAGTGTGTCCCATGCAAAGCGTCTCCTGACTCTCTCAGGGGTAGACCAGTAGTGCAGCCCTGGAGCCTTAGCTTGACTCCCCTGTCTCTCTTCCTTGTCATCCTTCAAGAATCATCCCAAACCCTTGTCAAATGAGAAATTCAACCTAAAGCATACCCATCTCTGTCCCCGGCCCCCTCTGGGAATCCTTTAATCATTCCGGCCTCAGGGGCCTACCTCCTATGAATTCCTCTTGCACTTACTGAGCCATACTCACCCAGCACGGAACATCTGCTGCCATGTGTTGTCACACCTGCGTTCTCAAGCGTGAGCCCTGTCCCCTACAGACACATTATAAACTCAAGAAGGCAGAGTGTCTCTTCTACGGGTCTTTATAGCTCCCTACACACATCTTGCACTGCCTGAGGCACAGCGATACATGAATGCCCGTTGAGTGAGAGTGAAATTTCACACGTTTCCACAGCAAATGTTAAGAGGGTCTTGTGCAACTGGGTTTCCCTACCTGTAGCACTTAGTGTTCTGCACTGGAATTGTCCAGGAGCTTGTCTGTTTCCCCTCACGAGTCCATGACTGTGACAGCAGCAAGTGTGTCTGCCTGTTCACTAGGGGAACGCATAGTGCCTGACACAGTAAGCATTTCACCAAACGTTCATTGAATGAACAGAGAGTTTTCCCCGCAGCCATCACCTGAAAAAGCAATCCTGCCAGGTGGGGTAGGTTGGGGAGCTGCTAGGCCCTGAGGATGGGGGGACAACGGCCCCACTGGTGGTGTCTCCCAGCTGCCCATCCCCCGGCCAGCCCCACCTGCGAGTGCTCACCGCAGCGTGCCCGTCCTCGTCATACTGCCGCAGCTGCCCCAGGAACTCCAGGTGCTTCTTTTCCTCCTCCAGCTGAGCCACGGCCTGCTCACTGCGCTGCAGTCGCTGCTGGGTGCCCGCCAGCTCGTCCCGCAGCCACTGGTTCTCCTGGCACAGCCGCCGTACCTGAGCCCGCAGCTTCTGTTTCTCTGACTCCACTGTGCTCAAGTGGTTGGCGAGAGCCAGCATCACCTAGGTGGGCACATCCTGTGAGCTCCAGACTCCAGAAGGGAGCCTATAGGCAGGAGGGGAGCCTACTGGGAAGCAGCAAGACTGGCAGGAACACAGAGGAGCCCAGAGGCAGGAATTTTGGCTAGCAATGATGCTATCTTCAAAATACACCCTGAATCTCACCACTGCCATTGCCATTTCGCAAGGCCAAGCCACCACTAATTCCCACCTGGATGACCACAGCAGCCTCCTCACTGGCCTCCCTGTTTCTGCCCTTGCTCCCCCGGAGCCTATTCTCAGTCTAGCAGCCAGATGATGTCAAATTAGATCACATCATTCTTTTCAAAACATTCTGACGGGGGCTGCGTTGTGTGGTGCAGTGGCTGCAATGTGGTATTCCATGTCAGAGTGCTGGTATGAGTCCCAGCTGCTCCACTTCTGATCCAGCTCCCTGCTAATGTGCCTGGGAAAGCAGTGGAGTATAGCCCAAGTGCTTGGGCTCCTGCCTACCACATGAAGTTCCTGGTCCCTGGCTTCAGCCTGGCCCAGCGCCAGCTGATGCAGCCATTTGGTGACAGAACCAGTAGATGGAAGATATCTCCTCCACCCCACCCCCACCCTGTCACTTTGCCTTTCAAAGAAATAAATAATTTTTATTTGAAAGGCAGAGTTACAGAGAGAGGAAAAGAGATCTTCTATCTGATGATTCACTCTCCAAATGGGTACAACGGCTGGGGCTGTGACAGGCAGAAGTCAGGAGCCAGGATCTTCTTCCACATCTCCCTCATTGGCTCAGGGGCCCAAGTACTTGGGTCATCATCTGCTGCTTACCCAGACAGGAAGTGGAGCAGCCAGGTCTTGAATCAGCACAATCTCAAACCAGCACTCATATGGGACACCCAGCCTTGCAGGTGGTAGCTTGACCCGTAACACCACAATGCCAGCCCCAATAAATAAATCTTTAAAAAAAAAATCAAAACATTCCAATAGAGGTAGATGCTTGGCCTGATGTTTAAGATGCTGGTTTGGACACCCGTGTCCCACATGGAAGTGCCTGGATTTGGTCCCCAGCTCTGGCTCCTGACTCCAGCTTCCTGCTGGTGCAGACACTTGGAGGCAGTGGTGACAGCTCATGTCGTTGGGTTCCTGCCACCCACATGAGAGACCTGGTGGCTCCTGACTTCAATCCTGAACCAGTCCTGTCTGTTGCAAGCATTGGGGCTGTGTGTCAGCAGGTGGGGGATCTTTCTTTCTGTCTCCTTCCTCTCTCAAAAAAAAAAAAAAAAAACCTAAAGAAACAAAACATCCCAGTAGCTTCCATATCACTAACATAAAATAAAAGCAGTCAATTGCACATGATCTCTCTGCTTCTCCCCAACTCCATAGTCCATTAGACTTTTCTTCTTTGCTTTCCTTCACTGAGTGCACTACAGCCACACTGCTCTTTGCTGTTCAATGAACTCAGCAGGCAGGCTCAAGTTCAAGTTCAGGGCCTCTGCACTGGCTGTTCTGTTTAGGAGGCTGATCTCTTATTGATTGGATGATTCATTCCATCACCTTTTTAAATCTTTGCTCCGATATCACCGTTACAGTGAGGCCCTGTTGGATCAGCATTATCTAAAACTGTACCCTCTCCCCACACTCCCTAGTCCCCCTCCCTGACTCATTTCTATCTTTAGCAAGTATTGCTCGGCACACTGCATCATTTACTCATTTGTTGTGCATTGCCTGTCCTGTCCCCACCCCTACTCCCCAACACCTAGAATGCAAACACCAACGTGGCAAAGATTTTGTGACGTATCTCCTCTGCTCAAAGGAGTTCTGGCCCATACCAAGGGCTTCAAACATATTTACTGAATTAATGTATGCATGCATCTAAGACAAGGTGATCCCAAGTGACCCAAACATCCAACCAGACAGCTGCTCCGCCACCCGCTCTGACTCATTCAGCACCAGCTCACCTGGGCCTCGCTCAGCCCCAACTCTATGTTTTCCATGGATCGGCGCAGCTGCCGGGCCTTCTCATGCACCAGCCCCTCCTCATGGCCTCCCTGCTGCAGACACTCGATGGTGTGGGATAGGCTTTGCAACACAGCCTGGTGTTCACTGTGCAGGGCCTCCAGTCCTTGGCTCACGAGCCGAGTGCTTCCCAGGATCTCCTCTTGGCTGAGTCGGTGCCCTGCAGGTTCATCCCGCTGCCCCAACACCAGACCTGACATCCTGGCCAGGGGAACCTCGCCTGGGCTAGACAGAAACAAGAATTCAGCTGTGGTAAACACAAGACAGAGAAGCTGAGGACCTTGGTAATAGGGATCCAAGTGAAGGGACAGGAGTATGGGTGATCCTGTGACTTAGCTGGAGGAAAACTGCTACACTTAACAGAAAGCTAAGATTCCAGGCAGAGATGGAGAGGGGAACAGGCATTTGGCACAGAGTTAGGATGCTACATGGGATGAGTGCCTGGGGGTTTGAGTCCTGGATCTGCTTCTGATATTTATTTGAAAGGCAGAGTTACCGGGGGGGGGGGGGGGAGGGAGAAAGGGAGAGAGAGAACTCTTCATCTGCTGGTTTACTCCCCAAATGGATATAACAGCTAGGGCTGAGGCTAGGCTAGGCCAAAGCCAAGAGCCTGGAACTTCATCCAAGTCTGCCACATGGGTGGCAGGGACCCAAAGACATGGGGCATCTTCTGCTACTTTCCCAGGCACATTAACAGGAACCTGGGACTCAAACCAGTGCTTACTGCTGCCCTACAACACTGGCCCCGTCTATCTTTTTCTCTCTCTCTGCCTTTCAAATAAATAAACTTTTTAAAAAAAAAATTTTTTTTAATTTTTTACGGGCAGAGTGGACAGTGAGACAGAGAAAGGTCTTCCTTTTCCATCGGTTCACCCCACAATGGCCACTGCGGCTGGCGCACCGCGCTGATCTGAAGCCAGGAGCCATGTGCTTCTCCTGGTCTCCCATGCGGGTGCAGGGCCCAAGCACCTGGGCCATCCTCCACTGCACTCGTGCTTCTCCTGGTCTCCCATGCGGGTGCAGGGCCCAAGCACCTGGGCCATCCTCCACTGCACTCCCGGGCCACAGCAGAGAGCTGGGCAGGAAGAGGAGCAACCGGGACAGAATCCAGCGCCCCGACCGGGACTAGAACCCAGTGTGCCGGCGCCGTAGGTGGAGGATTAGCCTAGTGAGCATGGCGCTGGCCTCAAATAAATAAACTTTTAAAAAGTCTTTAAAAAAGCTTAAATATGTTGTTTTTAAAAAAGAGAGAGAAGAGTTGAAATGAAGCCAGACTGTAGAGGGAACAAAGGTGCCTGGAACTATCAAGGATTAAGACTTACGAACAGAACAGAAAAGACGTTGGAGAGAGCTTAGGTTAGGAAAAGAAATGAAGAGAAGAGAGACTACATTAGAGTACTCAAAGAAGGGCCAGCATCATAATATAGCCAGTTAAGCTGCCTGCAATGCTGCATCTCATGGTGCTGGCTGGAGTTTCAAGTCTTGGCTGTTCTACTTCTGATCCAGCTCCCTGCTAATGCACCTGGGAAAGCACTAAAAGATGGCCCAAGTGCTTGGGCCCCTGCACCCACATGGGAGACCCAAGTGGAGCTACAAATTCCAGGCTCCTGCCTTCAGCCTGGCCCAGCCCTGGCCATTGCAGCCCTTTGGAGAGTGAACCAGTGGATCAAAGACACACACACACACACACACACACACACACGTCTCTCTCTGTCTCTCTCAATGTAACTCTGCCTTTCAAATAAAAAAAAAATAAAAGCATCCAAAAAATGGTGTTTGGGAGAGTTGCAAAGGGAACACAGTTAAAGAAGTCAGGAAATACGCAAAACATAAAAAAAGTTGGGTTTAAAAAAAAAAAAAAACGGGAAAAATAGGTTTCAAAGTGAAACCAGGAGCTTTCCTTGCAGGGTCACATGAGAGGGCTCAAGGTCCTCAGGCTGCGTCACCCACAGAAGCCAGCCCAGCATCTCCCAAACTAGCCAGCCCTGCCTCTTCCCCACTTCTCAGGACCCAGGCTGCCTTCCCGCTTCCTCAGAAGGGCCTGCCTAGTCCTCTTACCTGAGCACCGAGCAGAGCCCGCGGCGCTGGGGATCAGGACTGGGCCGGGAAGGAACTCTGCCTGCAGCCAGGGATTCGGAAGGATCTGCCCTGCCCAAAGTCCAGAAGTTCTTTGTTCCCACCCCTTCTCTGGCCACTTCACAGCCACCCAGAGGACCTGGCACCAGGCCCCACCCAGGACAAACACCCTCCCTCCTTCTGCCCACAGGTCTCGGAAGATGACCAACGTCCCTCCTCCTTTTCCAAGCCAGCCTCAGGCTCCAGGCCTGGGGAGCTCCCTTCTCCCAAGAAGGGAGTTGGAGACAGACTTCATCAGAGACCTGCCACAAGGGTGTCTGGGAGAGGGCGAAGAGGAAGACCTGCTCACTCCCAGCGCCGTCGCTTCCGTGGCTTTTCCTGTCACCATCACCTGCTAACAGGCTCTGAGGAATCACCGTACGGTGTCTCCCAAATGCCTGGTGATGCGGGGGAAGAACGGGGGTCTCCTGAGCGGCGCTGGGAGCTGGTGTCCCAGACCTGGGAACGCGCTTCGAGGGGCGTCCATGCCTGCTGACCTGCCCTGGGGCCCTGCGTGGGGGACACACTGAGGTGGGCAGGGGCGGGAGAGTGCTGGACGACCTAGGTCCAAGGAGCCTGCGAGGGGCCGGCGGCGGGACAATCCCGAGGTCACTGAGTCAGTTGGTCGCGCAGGGGGCGGGGCAGGCCGTCCGTCTGTCCGTCTTCATGCCAAGGGGCGGGGAAGAATCGAGGGGGGCGGGGTTTTTGAATTCGGAATTTTGTGAGGCTAGTCGCAGGAGGGCTGCTCATCTGTCACGGAGTCCAGGAATGATAGGTGGTAGAGACCTCAAATCTCAGATCCAGAGATACCCGCAAAGACTCACCTGCAGTCTGTCGGTCGGCCTGCCGCCCTTGCCAGTACTGCCCCTTTAAATCCATCATGGCTGCCGCTCGAGGCAATTGTTTTGACGGCTCTAAGGGGCGGGGCCTGTTCCCTAGTCACGCGACCTTAGAGCCGCCCGAGGATTGGCTCTGACCACGAGGAAAGGCGATGTGTGGCCGGTTTGGAATTGACGTTCTCTGCCCGCCTCCGCTTACGTCAATGGAGAGCGACGGTGCAAGGAGCAGCCAACGTGATCCGTAATCGCCAGGCAGCCTGGCTAAAGGCATAGGTGGCGTGCGGAGCCCAGCAGACTTTGGCCACCTCCATGGCCGTGTGTGCCCTGACCCGCACTCTGGGCTCCCTGAGACTGGGGTCCCCAGCCGTCGTCAGCCCCGTCCCGAATCTGTTCCCCGCCTCCAAGGTAATCCGCTTTACTCAAGAAGGAGGCTGTTTGGGTTTGGGCCGCCGGAGAGGGGTCAGCCGGCGATGGGAGTCTAGGGATGTGAATCGGGTCAGAAAACACAATAAGACCTGTGATCTTGGATAAGGCAATGTCAGCCTCAGCTGTCTGTAAGTGTTGCTATGTCGTAAAACGGAATTCCTCAGACGAAATACTGGAGGTGAAAATGCTTTGCACATCAGTTGTACTGGTTCTAGTAATAACTAATGTTTATTGAGTGCTTGCCATAAACCAGGCATCAATAATAGACGTTTCAAATAAATGAACTCTTTTCAAGCGCTCCATAAGGTAATTATTATCATTCCCATTGTACAGATGATAAATGATAAGGCTTCCAAGGTCACACACCAAGAGTTACTGCTGTGCAGTCTGGCTTCAGAGCCTGTGTTCTTAGCCGTTGAGATACTTAAAAGGATGAGCTATAGCTGAAATTAGACAATGCAGGGCAGGATACCACGAACAATGTCTTCTGGTGAGGGTATCCTGACCTTCCTGGTAAGCAAATTGGGAGTCACAGAAAAGTTTTAAGTCTTGCCCAGGCCGTTTAGGGGAGAGATTGGCAGAAACATATTTAAAATTCAAAAGCAAAGCAGTTTACTCTGTGAAAAGCTGAGATTACTGTGAGGAACAAGACATTCATATGTGAATGTAATGCAGAGGCCATAAGGCGTTGGTGCGTTGGTACTTGGGCGGGTGGAAGTTACCAGCGCAGGAGAAGGGAAGGATGTGCTTTCTGGGTGATGGACACCCGGGAAAATGTTCTGCTCTGGTCTGGGCAAACTGTGAAAGGTGGAGGTTTTGGAGTTTTAGCTACAGGCTAAAATTGGTCTGTGCCCTCTCCCCTGGGATTTTTGGCTTTTAAAGTTTATTTGAGGGGCTGGCATTGTGACACAGTAGTTTGAACTATCACCTGCAACGCAGGCATCCCACGTGAGCATCGGTTTGAGTTAAGGCTGGTCTGCTTCCAGTCCAGCTCCCTGCTTATGCATCTGCGAGGGCAGTAGGAGATGGCCCAAATATCTGGGCTCCTGCCACCCACATGGGAGATCTGGATGAAGTCCTGGCTACTGGCTTCAGTCCTGCCATTGTGACTATTTAGGGGGTTAACCAGATGATGGAAGATATCTCTCTCTGTCTCTTTCTGTCTTTCAAATAAATAAATAGATCTTGCTAAAAAATACAAAGTTTATTTTAAAGGCAGAGGAACAGGAAGAGGGAGAGAAAAAGAGGATCTTTCTGCTGGTGCACTTCCCAAATGCCTGCAACAGTTCGGAGTCTGGAACAACATCCAGGCCTCCCACTTGGGTGGCAGGGACTAACCACCTGTGCCATCACCTGCTGCCGGTCAGGACAGCATTAGCAGGAAGTAGAGTAGCCAGGACTGTAACCAGACACTCTTATGTGAAATGTGTCCCAAGCAATGGCTTAACCTGTTAGACCGCAGTGCCTGCCCCCTCCCTTGGTTTTCTATGGTGCTTTTCCTCCAATTCACTTTCAAGTGAAGAAGATTTCTGTTTAACCCTAGGTGATAAGCAATGCCCTCCTCCAACTGCCCTCTGCCTTGACGTTGCTCCCCTGTCGCCCGGTTGTTACCTCTGTAACCCTTAATGCCAAGTTTGTTTCCTGGAAGAATGTTACCAAGTACACCGTTAAACCAGTGAAGATGCGGAAGACTGGGGGCCGGGACCATACAGGTGGGAGCAAGAGCAAGGGGGTTTAACTAGTAAATGGGAAAAATGGGCCAGAACACTAGCCCTGTGCATTAACACACTTGTACCCTGTAAGACAGAGGAATGTCATTAAAAAGTAATATGTGGCTGGCGCCGCGGCTCACTAGGCTAATCCTCCACCTGGCTGCGCCGGCACACCGGGTTCTAGTCCCGGTTGGGGCGCTGGATTCTGTCCCGGTTGCCCCTCTTCCAGGCTAGCTCTCTGCTGTGGCCAGGGAGTGCAGTGGAGGATGGCCCAAGTGCTTGGGCCCTGCACCCCATGGGAGACCAGGAGAAGCACCTGGCTCCTGCCTTTGGATCAGTGCGGTGCGCCGGCCGCAGCGTGCTGGCCGCGGCGACCATTGGAGGGTGAACCAACAGCAAAAGGAAGACCTTTCTCTCTCTCTCTCTCTCTCTCTCTCTGACTATCCACTCTGTCTGTCAAAAAAAAAAAAAAAAAAAAAGGTAATATGTGGCTGGGCTGCAGCTCACTTGGCTAATCCTCTGCCTGCGGCGCCGGCACCCTGGGTTCTAGACCTGGTTGGGGTACCGGATTCTGTCCCGGTTGCTCCTTTTCCAGTCCAGCTCTCTGCTGTGGCCCGGGAAGGCAGTGGAGGATGGCCCAAGTGCTTGAGCCCTATACCTGCATGGGATACCAGGAGGAAGCACCCGGCTCCTGGCTTTGGATCGGCGCAGTGTGCCGGCCATGCCGGCCATTTGGGGGGTGAACCAACAGGAGGAAGACCTTTCTCTCTTTCTCACTGTCTAACTCTGCCTGTCAAAAAAAAAGTAATGTGTGCCTTGGAGCCGGGGAATGGACTATGAAACAACAGACAGCTGGTCTGTGCTCAGAGACAATCCGCAGGACCTTTTTCTTCATACCCTTCAAAAACTATAGCAGTTGAACTCTTAGGTGCAATTGACATGGCCCTCAATAAACTTACTGAATTCAGTAATTTGAACAGAGTTTATCTGGAAGATCTGTAGTTTAAGTTATCATATGATTATATTTTTACCAAGCTCTGTATAGGTGTTGCCGCACCCCTGTTTACCCCAGTGTTTTTGTCTGCACGTTTTTACAATTTCCTGCTGTGTCATAATGCTGGGAAGCACTGCTCTGTGGCCCAGGATGAGCCTGTTCCCAGTGCTGGGGGCTTGAACAAGTCTGCTCTGGATCATGTCTCCAAACTGTCCCGACCGCAGGCCGCATCCGAGTGCACGGTATAGGCGGGGGCCACAAACAACGTTATCGCATGATTGACTTTCTGCGTTTCCGGCCCGAGGAGGAGACCAAGCCAGGACCCTTTAAGGAGAAGGTTGTCACAGTCCGCTACGATCCCTGTAGGCAAGTTGGGGACATGGGATGGTGATGGTGTGGTCTGAAGGACTGCTGTGTAGCTTCTCAGAAGATGTGAACTGGCCAGTAGCCTGCTCACCTGTCCATCATCCTGAACAGGTCAGCAGACATAGCTCTGGTTGCTGGGGGCAGTCGGAAACGCTGGATCATTGCCACAGAAAACATGCAGCCTGGAGACACAATCCTGAACTCGGACCATATAGGTCGAATGGCAGGTGAGAGATGGCTGCCGGGTGTGAGGACCGAGGGCTACGAAGGTTCGAGTGCTGAAGAAATTCTGTCTTTTAGTTGCTGCCCAGGAAGGGGATGCACATCCTCTCGGGGCCCTGCCTGTGGGGACCCTCATCAACAACGTGGAAAGTGAGCCAGGCCGGGGAGCCCAGTATATCCGAGCTGCAGGTACGGGGAAGGCAGCTGCCTGGGTCCTACAATTTGGAAGCCCCAGGGGTATCTAACATCACAGTTCTCTGCACCTGTGGGCCCACGTCTGGTCCGTTGACAGAAAAACAGTAGGGGAAAAATGAGGAATGGGAGGAAGAAGAGGTGCTTGTGTTTCTACCTCAAACATGGCACCCATCCTCCTTTGTTCCATCTGCTCCTAAAGGGCACAGCCCCTCATCAATCCCCACTCTCCCACGTCCTCCTCCTCAGTGGAGGGTGGCAAAGCTGCATATCCCCTCCCCAGGAACGTGCGGCGTGCTGTTGCGGAAGGTGAATGGGACAGCCATCATCCAGCTGCCCTCCAAGCGGCAGATGCAGGTACGTGTGTGGACACAAGTTGGGGGGGGTGGTCAGCAGAGGAGAAACCTGGGGAATGCACCTCTCCTGCCTGGGGATAGCTCCCAGGTGTTTTATGCTGCCAGGAACTGCCCGGAGCGGGGTCTGTCCTTTGCTGCCACATGACCAAGCACGCCTTGTGGGGTTGGCACCATAGAGTAGGAAGCAATGTCTTTTTCAACTCCCAGTTCCTGCTGTAGAATCCACACTTAGGTTCCACCGTGGCGTGCTCTCTCCTCTCATGGAGTGGAAGAAGCCTCCCAAAGCTTGGGCCCTCTACCCTGCCGGGCTCTTGCCCCTCCACGGAGCGTTTGGCTCCATCTGCTTTCTCTTGGCAGGTGCTGGAAACGTGCATAGCAACGGTAGGCCGAGTGTCCAATGTTGATCACAACAAACGGGTCATCGGCAAGGCCGGTCGCAACCGCTGGCTGGGCAAGAGGCCTAACAGCGGGCTGTGGCAGCGCAAGGGGGGCTGGGCTGGCCGGAA